ACCTATACAAAGAACTAATCAATTAGAAATCACAAAAAAAAACAAAAATCAAATATACTATGTGAAAAAAATTTCTTTCATTTTCTTATAAGATTCTTGGCTTCTTTACATATTTTTGGTTGAAGTAAAACGAAAACTAATTGGATCATTTAGACAAACTCAAAGTACTAAAAAAAATCGAACAACACATCATAGACACAAATTTTGAATCACATAAAAGGAAAACTAAATGGATCATTTAGATTCAACCTTTCAGTCTCTTTCGAAGATTATCAAAGTCCGAATTCATGTTGTCAATTGCATAATAGACTTGCATAAGTTTTTATTTCATAATCATTTTCGGCCTCTTTCAAGTTTTATTAAAAATGAGTTTGAAATTTAGATGATTCCTTTGGAATTTAGATGATACCTCCTATCATAGTTTAGTGTTTCTTTGTCCCCTATCTACTTCCTTTTTTTTCCACATATGCAGATTTTGTTCTTCAAAAAGATTTAGTAAGTCTAATTTTTTTTCAGAAAACAACTGACCATTCATATTCTTCTTGAATCTTCATGTGCGCTTTGGCCAACACAACATTCTTTTATTCTATATGATCAATCAACAATGAATAACATTTTCTTCTCTTTTATCTTCAATGATTTATTCAAACTTTTATAAACCTTGTCCTATGCTAGGTTTAATCTGTCGAATAAACCTTGTATGAGCCTTTTATTTCTTATCCTTTTCTCATTTATATTTCATTTAGAATGAATCTACTTATTATTTACTAAAAATGCGATCTAAAAACGTGAAAAAGAGCTATGAAACCAATTATTGGAATAAAACAAAGAACAATAAAGAACTCAATTAATGGCCAACATAAAAAAATCCTCATACTTTTAATATTCTAAACAAATTTAAGATATATTTAATTATATACCAAACGATTTACCCTAGATTTAGATTTACCAAAACCAAAATTTCCATGAAAATATATGACGAAAAGCTTAAGCTTTTACTCAGCCGAATGTTGTCACCATAGCCTCTAGGGTTTGAGAGCATAAAAGTGTGTTTTTCGTGTAGTTTAAACCAACAATGAATTTACTTTGTTGCTTTTGCATCCGAAAGTTTAACGTACCCATCTTTGCTTCCTATCCGAAAGTTTATAATCCTAGAAAAACACAAAAACTTGAAGTTTTTAAATAAATGTATGAGTTTTCCCTACATCAAAATATAACCAACAAAAATCTCACCAAAATGTTTGCTTATGTAAGAAGATTTACATCAAACACATAAAAGTGGGTCCTTATTATTTATTACACTCCCAATTTTCTTGTGGTCTAAGAAATGGTGAAGCTACATCGTCCAAGAACGTTAAAATCTCTTTAAGAATTCAATTTACTCTCATTTAAGTCTGGTGTTTTTTTTAGATCGGATTCGTGTTCTAACATATAGAATGAGGCTGAGAATCTCGCACCCAATCAGCTGTATAATTCACTCCAACCCATTCATTGTATATGTGTTAGCTAAATCCATTGTTACCATTCA